ATGCATATTTGTATTCTTGTTATTACTTGGTCTTGTTACAGAACTTTAATGGAAAGTGTTTGGATAGTGGAGCACAGCAATCAGTATGCAGAAAATCTCTCTCAGTTCACAGAGGAAAAATATGAGTTGCTATATGAGTAACTGTCACAGCACAGTTATTTTTTTCTTTTTTCTTTTTAGAGAGAGAGAGAGAGAAGAGAGAGAATTTTTTAATATTTATTTTTCAGTTTTTCAGTGGACACAACATTTTAATTTTTTTAAATTTTTATGTGGTGCTGAAGATAGAACCCAGAGCCCCACGCATGCCAGGCGAGCGCATTACCGCTTGAGCCACATCCCAGCTCCACTGAAAAGTTATTTAGCTGTATCTGTGTAAAAATTTCATCTTAAAATTTGGGTTTTAACAAGTTTATGGAACCATTTCTCTCATGATTGACAGGAGTATTCAGTTTGTCAAAGTCATGTCTGAGCATCATGGATAAATTTCTAGTTTTTTTGTGTTTTTGTTTTTCCTGTTAGAATGCCACAGAACTATGACTCACTATACTTTTTAATATTTCATTACTCTGTTAATAAATGTTTCAAAGCAAAGACATTTCAATCAGTATACATATTTCCAAATAACACAAGTCAAAGAACTGCATGAAAAAGAATGACTTTTGTAAACTAGGTATAGTTTCACCAAAGTGATACAAAATTAAACAGTTTCACAGTTTAAGCAATAAGCAAAGATTTAAGTTTTATGTGTGAAACTTATAAATTCAATGTATATTATAAATCAATAATAAGAATAAAGGGAAGTCTATTAAGTTATATTATCATTCTTCAAAAGAAAGGACATTTTTTTTTCCTCAAATAAATTGAGAAACATGACCATTTTCTCCTGCCCCACTCCACCAGAAAGCCCATTTTTAGTGAAATTTATTTAATTATACTTTTTATAGAAATGTAAGGTTTTTATTTCAATAATTATTTATGGAATTTAAATATTTAGTTTGTAATGCTATGTTTATTTCATTGGGAGATGAGATTTATTCCATAAAGGGTTTAGTAATTCAAATCAATGTAAAAAACATAATTAATATGCTCTGAGATAATGATACATTTTATGTATATATAGAATATATAGATATATCGATTCTGTAGTTCAGCTATTATGTTTGGTTATATGGAAAACAATATCTGCCATAAAATGTTAGGTGCTAGCTTCTTCCATAATGCAATGTATTTAGATGGAACAATTGCTTAATCCACTGTCAACTAAAACATGCTGGTGATAAATGTCTAGTCATTTTCAGAAGATAACTAAGCTCTATGCCAGTACAATATCCAGGACTGAAGATGCAAACTTCTCAAGTAACCTCCAGAATGTGTACATAGATTAAATTTCTTGATTGTACTACAGGAAAATTGTAGAATGGAGAAATAATTAAGTTCTAGTCTCTGCTTTAGGTACCTAGCAATGTTGAAGAATGGTGCATCAAATACACCAAGAATACAGCAATAGGATGACATTATATATAGCATTTTTAAATAGTAACAATGTAATACTCTCATAAATATATGAAGTAAAATGATGTGAGATAAAGCTGGAAAAGAGGACTTGAGTTAATTTTTGGAGGGATTTTAATGTCAAGCTAAACAATCTCACAAATTGCAATAGGTAAGAATAAGCCTCTGGAAACTTTTGTGTTGAAAACTGACACAGTGAGAAATGTGTATTTGGATACTTTTCCCACTATTTGTGTAAAATATTGTAGAAAAAACTGGAGGTAAGAGAATGATTGACAGGGTATTTCATTGGTCCTGGCGTTCAGTAAAGAGGGCTAAAGTTGTTTTGATTTGAATGCATGGAACAAGGAATTAGAGCAACTGGAGATATTTCCTAGATTTCAAGGTTGCAGTATAGAGGAAGAATGGTTGTGCTATTTTTGTTTGTATGTTTGTTTGAACTGGGTTTTGATCCTACGGGCACTTTATCACTGAACTACATTCCCAGCCTTTTGATTATTGTTTATCTTGAAACAGGATCTCACCAAGTTGTTGAGGCTAGCCTGGAATTTGTGATCCTCCTTATAACACTCATGTGACATTTTAGAAGTTTTATTCTCCCAAGTTGCTAGGATTACAGGTGTGAGCCACCATGCCTGGCTGGTTGTACTATTTTTAAATGTAATGAATAGTTGGCAGGAGAAGCAAGTATGGAAGGCAAGGTGAGAAGTTTGATTTTGGTTTTTATATTATGGGTAGGGCTATAGATTGAAACCATGAAGATTTATTTTTTAGTCATACTGTATGTTTAAACAGATGAATAGGAATACTCTCCACGAAGTTACTCACAGGGGACCCAGCTTTCTCATCAGAACTACTGCAGCAGAGGAAAGAGTAAGATTGAAAAATATATAGGCATTTTACCAATTGAATCAGACCAGAAGTGACACACATCACTCCTGTTCATATCCATTGGCCTTTAGCCCCATGTGAGTGCAAAGGGGCTGAGAATTATGATCTCTTATAGGATATTGGTGAGCAATAATAATGCCCCTTATAGATGCATTGACTGTAGGATCAATCTTTCCTTAGCTCTGAGTAGTGTGTGTATGTATGAAAGGGAGAATTAAAGGGCAAGAGGAAAATGCTTTGTCTTAACTTTATGTGAAACTCCCCATTCTTCACTGAGACATATTAACCAAAGGAACTGTGGACTCACTAGGCTTTTCTACTCTTAAATATTATACTCTGAGTATAATTTTTCTGATGATGATATATGGGCTGCAAGAGGCTCACAACATAATGTACTCTTATAACACTCATGTGACATTTTAGAAGTTTTATATGTGGTATTATCAAATTCTTTATTCTGATTCTATTGCAACATGGAACATAGAGAAACTATTTGTATTTCTAAGTGTTTAAAAATATAATTGTGTAAAAGTACTTGAAAGTGTAACTCACTGTTAATCAGGAGTCTGTGATTTCATGATGAGAAAGTTTGGAATAAATTTAGTCACCAAAATCTTACCATTGGTACCTCCAAAGACAATCAAGTTATACTCATCATTTTTACAAAGTAATTGTGGAAAATCAGGGAAATATTCATTGAGCTCCATAGCAGTAAAGTATTCTCAGTGTTGTTAGATTGTTGGCTGATTTGCAAATACCAATCTAACTAGAGAAATAATGCTAAACACTTTTAAATGTTTACTTTGATAAGAAACTGAATGAATAAATGTTAGAAACAATTTACTATTAATATCTACCATATCAATGTAATGTCATCTTCTCAAAAGTGTTTCAGTTGGAATCAAAAGTTATACAGTCACTCCTATGTTCTAATCTCTAGCACATGAGGTTGTTAGGTTGCTATGTATAAATTCTTTGTTTTTAATTACTGGAAATCATGCACTACCATATGCAGTGTCCTTGAACCTGAAAGATGACTAGGGTGTTGAAATATAAAACTAAATGACAACATATAAATATATATTATTCATAAGCCTAAGTATTTATTATAGATAATATTCCTTGTAGAGATGTGATAAGTAATACGATTTTATTTATACTATTATAGGAAAATCTTTATTAAAATTAAGAAATTATAACTTAGTTGAACCTTATTTAATTTGAAATGTTGAGCATGAGTCCACTTTGAAAGAAGAGCCAACAGTTGAACATCACAATAAGAATTTATATGCCCATTTATTTGTTTCAATATGCAATTCATGACATAAAATTCACTATAAATATCTTTTCCTATTTCTACACACTCGCTAGAAAAAACCAACAAAAACCTATAATTTTGTAATCTAAGGCACACTTCTTCATAAGGGAAAATTTTAACATAGAAATCAAGTTAACAAGTCAGATTCTAAGATTGAGATGCTATTTTTTTCTATTTTTTAAAAACTATAAGCTAAGTGCATTTAGAAATGGCATAATTCAGTATGGTAGTAGTTTATATGAATTAATATTTCTTCCAAAGATACCTGACTCACAGTCTGGGAAAAGCAGACAGCCTGTATGAATCTGACTTACAGCAAAGCATTTCATTCATGTCCAATACTGCATTTCCCACCAAAAAAAAAGTATATCACATGCTTAAAACCCTGCTAGAAGCATCCAATTACCCCCCAAAATAAGTTGCTATACAACACATAGTTTCCAGAAGTCTCTGATCTTTTAATTGAAGACATGACTAATGGAACACAATTTGCTTTTGAAATACCCTGCATAAAATATGACTGAATGGGGCTGGAGCTGTGGCTCAGTGGTAGAGCACTTGCCTAGTATGTGTGAGGCACTGGGTTCGAATCCTGGCACCACATACAATAAACAAATAAAATAAAGGTATAAAAAATATGACTGAAGTTTGCTGAAAGCCACTTAAACAGAACAAAGGACATATACATTTAATAAAAGCTTACTCCTGATAACACACAATAAAGCCTTCATGGACACAGATTGCTTTTATACTTTAAAATAACCTTTAGTATTACCAAGGACAACAGATTGTAGAATTTTCAAAAATATTTTGACTGAGTCAGGAGCAGTACTTTTGCACTTATTTTTAAAACTGCATCTTATTTCAGAAATCTAGTACAAAAAGGGATTGCTTAACAAGGATACCTATAACGGGCTGTTATTCTAATGCTCATAATCAAAACTTGACTACTAGCTGTTTACCATTTACCAAGTTTCAAAATACCATTTTCTCCTTTGTTCTTAAACTCAGATCTTTAAAATTTTGTTTTAAAACGACTTTTAAAAACTAAAGCTGTATAGCAAGAATGTACTAGTTTTAAAGACATCATCTTTTTATTCTGGAAACTTAATTGGTAGTAAATTTAAGATAATTCTTAACAGTTTTCTTGTACTGCTAACAAACAAGGGGCACAATCATACGTTCACTCTAGAAATGAAAAAGGCACTCTTAATTATTATAGGAAATCACTAGAATGTTTATACATAAAACATTGAGAACCATTGAGGTACACTGACCTCTAAAGGCGTAAGTAATTCAATGGTTCTCTGTTTAAAACCTCAGCTGCATTCCTCTTGCCATATGTATTGGATCCCACATTGGTAGTTGAGAGAATGGCACCAAGGTTGTGGCTGGAACGAACTAAAAAATTTGCCAGGCGTTGTGTTGCACATGTGGCAGTGTTGCATTTCCGTTTGTCCATCTGGTGATTGGTAATGCTGAACAAATATGAAAGGTTAGAGGCTTAGAATTGGGATTGGATACAGCCATGTGACCCCAAATACTCATACAGATGAAAAGAAAAGGAAATATTTTCACAGAAGTAGCTCAGTGTTTTGGTTTGCAAACATCTGGATGACAGATCCTTTTGATACCTTGAAGATGCAACAGAATCAATTTTTGACTAGGAAATAATACAGCCTCTTTCACTGTAGACAATGTTTCATTTTCCAGGATAATTCTTCCTTTGGAAATTCAGAATACATTTCTGATGAATGATGATGATGATGATGATATAGTGATGATAATAATGATAATAATAATAGTCTTTCTATTATATTCTTCTAAATCTTGTTGATAAACTTATTTTCTGACATATAAAAAGTATTCAGAATGTAAAATTTATATCTAACCCAGAATATATAAAAATTGAAATATATGAAAATAAATATGTGTATATTTACACATATATATCATTTTATATTTATATAATTTTTGTATATGTATAATTTTAATTTCTCAGATCTTTCCAACAAGAAGTAAGCAATATTAGCTAATTTTTGTTAAGTTTCTTGAAATAATGAATCAGGAATGTCAAGAAAAAATATCAGAATGAAATTCTGCAATATACAAGATGGATAAGTTTTAATGATATTATGCTAAAGCGAAATAAACCAGTCACAGAAAAACAAATACTGCATGATTGCACATATATGAGCTATCTAAAATACTCAAATTCGACAGAATGGGAAGTTGTACTCCATGTATGAATAACATATCAAAATATATACTACTGTCATGTATAAATAAAAATAACAAGTAAAAAGAATAAAATACTCAAATTTGAGACTTAAACAATGGAATTGTGTTTACCAGAGACTGCGGGATGGGGAAATAGAGAGTTTTGCTAATCAATGGACATGAAGTCTCTATTAAGAGGACTAAGCTGGGGCTGAGACTGTGGCTCAGCGGTAGAACACTTGCCTGACGTGTGAGGCACTGGGTTTGATTCTCAGCATGGCATATAAATAAATAAAATAAAAGTCTATCCACAACTAAAAAATATTTTTAAAAATGAATAAGCTGTAGAGCAGTGTGTCTACAGTCAAAGATAATGCATTATCCACTAAAAAATTTAAGTGTCTTTACCACAGTAAAATAAAATGGAGAATTTCAGATACTATAAAGTTAGGTGTTATAAAGGGAAATCAATTGGTCACCTGTTCAGGCACTCTTTGCATTGTGGGAGTTCTATTCTTAGCACAAATACTTGAACATTTCTATCTTCTGGTCACTTAGATTTTATGCTTTCAATGATTTTAATGAAAGGGCTATGGTAAATGTTAAAAACAAAATCCTACCTGGCCCAACCTCTTAAAAGAGCCTGCCACTTCATGATAGCACTGTGGCTTGAGGACCAAGTCTTTATACTTGAGCCTTTGGTGGTACGTTCCAGATACAGACCATATACCAGTGTGCTTTCAAAGTGGTATTTTACTTACTGACTTATTGTAGTACTGAAGATTGAACCCAGGGACTTGCACATGTTGAGCTTTATCCCAGTGTTTCAAATTGGAATTTTAAATGGATACAGAACAATAAGATTGCTTTACTCATTTGGGAATCTTTAGGAAAATTATAGAAATATTTTAGTTTTTAACTCCATAGAAACCAAAGTGTTGCTAAAAATTTATATATAAGTAATAGTTACGAGGCCAAAAGCTCAATGTTCAGATGTGAATAAATATACATATTTTGGGTTAAATACAGTGGATTTATCTCAGTGTGTTTACTTTGTGAGGGGGAATATTTCATTATCTCTCTCTGGAGATAGCTTAAGTGTAAATTTTTTAAAGTTTCATGTGAAAAAAGAATTTAAAATTTTTTTACCACCTTATTATTTTCCAAATGTAGAAAATTCTTCAGACAGAATCAGGTGAACTAAATATTTATTGACTCTAAGTGTGTGCAGACAAAGCAATTATTCAGGCAAAGGAAATCCAGGCTGGGATCTGTTTTTTTGGTCTATATCTTATTCACACTATTCTAATATTTTTTTGAAGGTATAACTTTGAACAATGTGCATTTCAAAAGGATAGCTTAATGCTATAAAAAGTTATAATGCTATTTTCATACATTGGACATTAAGTTCTAAATGATTTTTTTTTCTTGAAAAACAACAGGAATTGGAATTTGGCCCTAATACCTCCAACTAATAGATGTAAAGCTGTAGGGGAAATTATCAGTCACATTAGGAAATTCAAAGGGGCTATCTATCCCAAGATGTGTTTAGCCAGTGCTTGGAGTATGAAATACTGTTCACTAAATGCTGAGCTGGGCTTTGATAATCAGTTGGAAGGTCAGTAGTAGAATTTAAAATTATTCTAGGAAAAATGTTATCTTATTTGAATTACCTAGAAGGACCACTGTTCTCCATAAAACAAATAGTAAGAACTTTCATGTTTGTTTGCTTCAGAACTGTGAATTTTTTTTCCAAATATCCTGTTCAGCATGAACAAAACTCTACCCAAAACAGTCATTTGGTTGGAAAATTATGGCTGAAATGGTTAGTAAAAGGCATTGCACCTCCACATTCAGGCATTTTTTTTCTCACTGACTACTTGGGAAAACATGACTTGTCTGTCTACCTAATTATTGAAACACTAAAACTACAGACCACTTATAGGCACATACACACCAAGAAATTCTTGACCACAAGAGAATTTAAACAGCAATGGCAATAAGCTAAACTACAGCTCTTAAATTGTGTATGTTTAAAGACATTTCAGTTTCAGGTTTTTTTTTTAAATTAACATTTATCTGTGGGGATCTGTGAGATTCTATTGGGAGAGTCTAGTGACTATAGCTTAGCACTGGGAAATTATATTTTTGACTACCCTCTGATTATTTGCCAGATAGATACTTACAATAACATGTAAAGGGAAAGTGTGTGATCCTTTGCCTTAGTCATGAGTAAGAAGTAAAGAAATGCCAGGCATTGTGGCACACACCTGGAATCTAAGCAACTCAGGTGGCTGAGACAGGAGGATCTCAAGTTCAAAGCCAGTCTTAGCAATTTAGTGAGCCCCTAAACAATTTAGTGAGATTCTGTCTCAAAATGAAAAAACAAAAAGGTTGAGGATATGGCTCAGTGGTTGAGTACCCCTGGGTTCAATCCCTGGTACAAAAAATAAAAGTAACCATTTTCTGGTTTGTAAAGTCAGTTTATTGCTTCTTAATCCTATCTCATACCTGTACAAATGTTGCAAAAGTCTCAAATGAGATGATTGAATTTGATGAAGCAAATTACAGTGAATAATAAATATATATTAGCTTCATTTTTAAAAGGAGTTTAAAATTTGAGATATTTCTACAAAGGTTTTCTTAGCTTTTTATGAGATTTATAGGATGCTATATATTACTCAGGATGACTAATCATTCGTCCTTTAAAAAATGACCAAATATACTGATTTCAGGAAACACATTAAAAAGCAATTTGAAGAATGCTTTATAAGTATACCTAATTCAAAGTAAAAGACTGTGAGACCAGCATGATTTAATTTGATAATAAGTAATGTTATGAATTATTCTAATTCTGAATGAAATTCACCTCATAATAAGCACATATTCATAAAGGCATATTTGTAAAGGTACTTAGGAAATGTCTGTATCTAATGAAAGAAAAGATCAAGATATTAACACAAATACTAAGTAATACTGTTAATTTTCCTGTCATCATTCAATTGTTCTGATTATCAGAAACTTCATGTCAGTTTTAAAGTTATTTTTATCCGTGAAAAACCTTGAATTTTTATCCATGAAAAACCTTGAAAATTACAGTCAGTTCTGAGAACATCCTGTAAACTAAATAAGCCCTGAAATGACAAAGAAAATCCTTTGATGATTCCTACTATTTATTATAAGTAGGTACAGTAGAAACCTTTATACATTGCAGTGAACCACCACCCAACAGAAAACATCTCAAAGAAAATAAAGACAAGATGATAATGTTTCTAATGAGAAAAGTTCAAATATGACTAAAGCACATTCTTTTTAAAGACAGTTTGAATTCTCCTTGGTCTTGAAGTGTGTATATGTTCATTCTTACAAGACTATATGGGCAAAACTGATTTAGGCACAAACAAATCCTCATGACATTATTTATGTCAGATGTATGAATTTGGACTCCAGAATCTTTTATATAAGGAAGAAAACCTAAGTTTTAAGGGTTTTCCATTCATAACTTATAATTACTGCTAATCTTTTCACCTGACGTAGTTTTTACACTTCCTTAAAACTACCCTTTAGATGATATAACACCTTTAAATAGTAAGCCTTCCTAGGAAATCTTGATGCACAGGTTATATAATGAAAATATTTCAAGAATTATTAATCTACCTTTATAGCAGCTTAGAAGTAATCTCAAGAAGATTAACATTTTATAATTGTTTTATTAACAGAATAGCCAGCAGTATAGAATGAATCTCCAAATAGCAAATGGCTTTTTAACTAATTCCTCTTAAGTTTAACTTCTGAAAAACTTGAATTTGCCCCCTGATTATTTATATACACTTTAATTTCCAGAAGCAAATGTAAAAGTTCGGATATTTCCAAAGCCCTTTAAGGAAAAAAAGTCTATGTAAATATACACAACATTCTACTTGATATAAAATACATGCTTTACTTAATGTCTAGTTTGTTTCAATATCAGATTAATAGAGTAGAAATGACTACCTTTTAGTTTTTCCTGCTTCGTGTTCTGGCTTTGCCCCTCTAAGTTCCAACAGCATATTTCTTGATAAAACTGGAACTATCCATTCCTGTCTGTTAGAAGTTCCAGCAGAGAGATTTATCAGTCACTGACAATATTCTTTAAAGAACACAGAATTCAAGGAACAACTGAACGGCTTTAAGTACTTCTTGTAGCATAATTTCACCAGAAATCTGATGGCACAAGGGCTGTTAGTTATATAGCAGTGTTAAATACTAATTTTCCCACACTTTACAAAAGAAACAGGATTTTAAAGTTAGTTACTAACCTTTCAATGGGGGTAGCTTTCAGATGGTTTAATGCCACAAAGAGCACAAGGATCACTACTGGTAGCTTTAGGACACACATGGCTTCTTGAATTTTCTGAAAAGAATAATCTAGCAGTGAAATCAGGAAATTTCTTACAGTTGAGATTGATGTAATTTTAAATCATAGCCTAATTTTAAAATTAAATATTTTAAAACATAATTTTAAAAAAATAATTTAAAACATAAAAATATTTTAAAACTTAATAATTCTTATTGGTAAAATCCTTTAATACTCTTCAGTTTTCCAATATTTTTTAAATGTTCATTTTCCCAATTTTCTTCTCTAAACAATCTAATAATTTATATTTTAATAATCAAATTTTAGCTTTCCTTTGAAATAAACCATATATTTAACTTCAAATCTTCTTTACTAAATAATACTTCCCAGAAATAAGAAATTCCTTACCTTTTAATGCTTCAGTGTCAGCAATATCAGAAAATGCCTTTGATAGCAAGAAAGCTGCATGAAAACAAGTCCAAACTTGCATTCACTAGAGTATTTGCCCCCTACTTGCTTATCAATAATCCAGCTCTTATATACCCTTCACACCTTTCTCAGCTCTGACATCAGGCAGCTCAGAGAGACTTTGTCATCAATTTCCATCCCTACATAGAAAGTTCCTCATAGACAGCAGAAGCAGATGGGTATTATTACATTAATACATCAGTAAATATTAACACAGCAGATACAGAGTGTCTCTGTGCAGTTAATGATGTGTAATATACAGCAGAAGTTTCAATTTGTCATCTTTGTAAAATGTAAGCAGATTTTCAAGAATTACATGTATGTCATAGTAAGAACTTAAAAAAAGAAATAATTAAGAATAACAGTAAATGTGCTTTTATGCAGAGGAGAGTCAGAGACAATGAGGAGATATAACTAAATCCAGATGACCCCTGTGGCTTAATCCCATGACATTCAGAAACATATTGAATAGAAGGGTGAGGTTTATTTTGTTTAAAAATTATATAAAAACAAAAGTCATTTACAGTGAGGTGGGGGAGATTTAAGGCATAAAACAATGATTTTATATCTACAAATTCATATGTCAATATTTAAATAGAGATGCACATATATATATATATACACATACATATACATAAAAACATATATATATATACACACACAAATATATACATATACAAATACACACACATTCTCTCTCTCTCTCTCTCTCTCTCTCTCTCTCTCAGTTTTCAGGGACTTTTCCCATTAGTTAGTATACAGAAATATCACAGTTATTTTGAAGGAAGATATTTTTTCCCTTTTACCTTCTTAAGAAAATTATGAATGACTTGATTCAGCAGAATATCTCTAGTTTGCCTTTTGAAATAATTTGTTCTTTTTATTTTCACCAAATGTGCTTCCCTTTTTCTTGTGTTTCTTTTTAAAATTTTTTTGATTCTTTTTAATTTTACAGGACAGTGGAATATATTTTGACATATCTAATATACATGGAGTATAACTTCCCATTTTTGTAGTTGTACATGATGTGGAGTTTACTGGTCGTGTATTCATATATGAACATAGAAAAGTTATGTCCAATTCATTCTACTGTCTACCATGTACGGCAACTAAAGGAAACTCAAACTGTCAGTGAAACGGTGTATGTTTGTGTTATCTAAAAATGATGGAAGTTCTCCAAGTTAAAAAAAAATAGTAAGCTTATTGATTTCATGTACTTCTTTAAAGCTTAGTAACACCATTTGAGGGTGTTAGAAGAAATTTCAAGAGAAAGAGAGTAACTTGTTTCTAATACTTGTTTTAATATTTGATGATTCTGCAATTTTAATATTTCTGTGAAGTTTACTGATATTCCAAAAGGGAAGAAAATGAAATAAAGGTTTTGGAATGTAAATCATTTCTTATAATGTATATAAAAGTTATATATAGTAGTTTAGAAATGATATAGAGGCCTAGACATATTAAATATTGTCCAATGTCAGACAACCAATTAATGCTACATCCTGAACCAATTCTCAGATTTTCTTTCTCATGGTTGAGCATTCATTTAGTCCTAGATCCCTGCCTCTAATCTACCTATTTATTTATTTTACTTTCATAGCCCTTTTTCACTCTGAGATGTTAAGAGTGCCAAATGTTATGTTAAAAAATGAATTCTCCCTCACTCCCTAGGAAGTTAATATTATAAGAAAAATTTTTACAAAGGACCTGATATTTTTACTATGTGTCAGGCATAGTTATTTAATTGATATGTGATACCTCCTTCATCTTCACACCTCTAAGGTAGGCAAAATTTGCTCCAATTTATAGCTAGCAAAACTGAAAATTAGAGAATATAATTGGTTTGCTTAAGGTTACACAGCTACTGAAGGGTCAGAGTGAAGTTCAAATTCTCATCACCTATGCCAGGATGTTTATCTCTTTGTTAAAAAGGATCTCTATTCCCATATACTGAATTGCCAATTGCTTTCTCTAAATTAGGTATCTTATTACAACACCTTGAGTGATTTGGTTATAGCCAGATGTGGCCTTATGCTGATCTTGTATAATTTTTAGGAAGATCAATGCCTATCCTAATATCAAATTGCTTCCAGTTTTTACATACTTCCTATATTAATGGAAGTGAAGTTAGTTTATGTGGTCATTTAAATCCTCTTAACCTGGCATCTCCATTTCTGGATCAGGAGCTCCTTCCTACAGAACAAATACCATCATTGCTCATCTTGTGTCTCCTAGTTAGAGTGTGAAAAGGTTTTGGCAGCTTTGTCCTCCCATGGGAGCTTCTTAAAAATGCAAAACTCAGGACCCATCTCAGACCCACTGAATCAGAATGTGCATCTTTCCTTAGTATATACACTAAGATTGAGAAAAACTGTCCTGTAATATATTACATTGATTCAATAAATGTTTGTTGAGGACTAACTCTGTGGCAGGGATTATTATAAGTAACAAAGATATGACAGTTAATCAAGCAAATTTCTGCTCTTGTAGCTTAGAGTCTGTGGAAGAAATAGAGTAAGCAAGTGAACAGGTAGATATGCAACTAAAATGTAAGTGCTATGAAAAGAAATAATATAGTGGTGTGAGAAAAAAAATGGTGGAATTTAAGTTGAATTCTCAAAGCAAAAGAGCAATCAAAGAAAGAGTAATGGAAATTGTTCAGAACCAGCAAAGAACATGTGTAAGGCCTTAAGGAAGGAAGATGGCGGCGAGGGGAGTGCATTGCCCCCGTGTGCTGCTTCACTGTGTGGGAGTATGACAAGTCAGGACGGCTAAAGGATATCTTGTTAGGAATTTCCAGCAATAGTGGGGTGCTCCGGAACCTGGAGGAAGGATTTCCATCGCACGAGGATCAGCTACGGGGACTCAAACGCGAGAGGTTTGTCGCACGGAGGGTAAAACTGCTTATTCAGCAAATCGCCCCGCGGCTAGAGTCTGCAGCGCGCGCTGGGATAGAGACGCAGGGTTACAGCGCTGCAGTTTCTGCCAGCCGCGCAAGCACCGTACTCAGGGCTGAATTCTGGGTTCGAGACGGGGGAAGGAAGCGGTCCATCTCGGTTCTCCACACCAGTCAGACCACAGAGGAGGCCAGCAGCCACCATGTTGGTAAACTGACGTCACCACCCCTGTTTTCGACTGACCGCAGCTCATTCAGCCATAGAACAGGTAATTTCAGGCTGCAATTCGCCTGCGGCTTGCAGACAGATTGCTAGGGTTCAGTGCCTGGGTGCTTCTTAGAACCTGATCTTATCGGAGTGAACACCGAGCGCGGGGTGGCCGAGTTCCGGCTCCCGGAACCGTCCCGGAACCGCCCTGGCCCAGGGCTGCTGAGCCTGCGGAGGCTGCTTCTTGGACCCTGCTCCTATCAGAGCATACACCAAGCACTAAGCAGCCGAATTCCGGCTCCCGGAACTGAGCCCGCGGGGACTGCTTCTTGGAGCTTACACTTATAGGAGCTTACACCGAGCATGGAGCGGCCGAGTTCCGGCTCCCGGAACTTCCCTGGCCCGGGGCTAGGAGCCCGCGGAAACTGCTTCTCGGTCCGGGTCCTGCTGAGGGCCGGTCAGGACTCACCCGTTGCTTTGGTTGCCCGGCAAGGGGAACAAAATGCTGCCATTCGCATAGGATATTAACATGGCAGAGATCTGATGTCAGCAGAAAGCGGCGGAGGAGAGAACTTTATCAATACCAGCGGTGACATAAGCAGTTGGTCTCCTGGTAGGGGGGGTGAGGCACAGTCACCCGAGTCTCCTCAATTTGTCGTCGAGCCAGAGGGGAGGAGCCGGGCCGCCGCCAGCGCCCGGAGCAGGCCCAGCGGCTCGCCAGCGTGGTGACCGTGTGACCCCAATTGGAGAGGGGGCGGAGCGGAGCCGCCACCCGCACCCGTAAGGTGGGCAGACCCGCGACCCAGTGGTACATGGGCGTGGTAGGAGGGGCAGGGCAGAGCCGCCCTTCGCGCTTGCAAGTTAAACAGACCTGTGACAGCCTGGCGGGTCAGGCCCAGTGGCCTGCCAGTGTGGTACACACGTCACCCCAACTGGAGTAGGGGCAGAGCAGATCCTTCTCCCACGCCCGGATCAGGCCCTGCCGGTGTGGTGGTCACGTGACCCCAATTGGAGTGGGGGCGGAGCAGAACCACCACCCGTGCCCAAAAGGTGGGCAGATCTGCTACCGACCAGCGGGACAGGCTCAGTGGCCTGCCGGTACGACAGACACGTCACCCCATTTGGAGTAGGGGCAGAGTAGAGCCGCCGCCCGCGCCTGCAGGGTAGGCAAACCTGCAACCGACCTGCGGATCAGGCCCGGTGGCCTGCCGGTGTGGTACACTCGTCACCCCAATTGGAGAAGGGGCAGAACAGAGCCGCCACCAGCTCCCAGAACAGGCCCAGTGACCTGCCGGCGTGGTAGCCACGACACCACAATTGGAATAAGGAGAGAGCAGAGCCGCTGCCCGCACCTGCAGGAAAGATACGCAAGCAGTATGAAAAGACAAGGAAAGAAAGGACCACAAGCAATGCAGGTCAACGCAACTTTAGAAGAGGTAACAGCTGCAACAGATGGAATGTCAGATAAAG